GTCTATAACAACGAGTTTTTCGGATTTATGGCCATTTTTGCAACAAAAATGCTTTGTAATTTTATTATTTTATTTTATTATCCTGAACTTAGTTCCAATAGTTTATATAGAGTCAAAATGAAAAATAATAATTTTCGTGAAAAAATAAAATAGCATATATAACATATATATACTTCTATTATTAAATTTTTGAAAAGAAAGACTCATCTTTATTTATTAACTATAATTCTCCATTTTCCGCAACCGCAAAAAACGTTCTATGTAATTAAGTTTCTTTTACTTACTTTAATTTACTTTCGATTTTCCCCACTGGAAAAAGAAAAAAAAACAACTCAAAAATCATATTTTTGACAAATGACGATTCTAATTGGCGTAAAAAAGACGTTGATTAAATGACGTCATTTGTCTGAGACGTTAGTAGGTCAAATTCACGTCCTACTGATATCTTCATTTGGTGACTAGTTAATGACGTTTTTCTGACGACCCTCTGCTACCTGGGGTGGTAGATCAAATAAAAGCGTAAAAAACATGTTGGAATGAAAAACGAATGTGGGCACCATGCAACAACAAGCACACAAGATTCGGCCGTCGAGGTAAGTGAAATAGGTGGATACTGAGGTGGGTTTTTGAGAAATTGCTTCGCATGTTATTGTTCTGACGTTTCTAACCAGCATTGATGGTAATCTACTAACCTTGTTCCCTACAGCTTTTTGAAGCTGATGGTGATACCAATTAACAAATATTTGCTACTTTTTTTCAAACACTACTTATTAAATTATAAGATGTCATTTCAATAACACCTGTATAGACTGTTTTAGCTGTCAATTTAATTGGTAAAGAATATATTTGGCTTCGGCAATGTCGGAAACACGTATATTTTACGAGATTAGGCTCGGGAATGGAAAAGGGGATAACTTATTTCTCTCCTTATCGTATTTCGGAGCTGCAATCGCGATTACAGCAAGCCGGCAGCTGCTTCCATGTATCGCATTCCGTAGAACTCGCTCCATTCCACCTGTAAATAATCCCGAAACCATCACGCCTCTGACCTACTTTCGATTCGAACGACGTTATTTAAATTTCAATTCTCGCCTTCATATATATAGACGTATTTCAGTCAAAGTCGAGAGCTCGGAATTTCAAAGAATCCCGTTCGAAATTTAATTTGAAAATTTAATTAAATTGTTGGACTTCCCGACTCCGGAATGTAATGAAAGTGCCGGGCGGATAAAAGCGGTCGAAAGGCATTACGCCAGGCAAAGTTGGCGGCGCGCTTCTTTTGTCTTCGCGGAAATAAATTGCGATTCCGGTGCGCCGGGGCTTGATTTAGGGGATCCGTCATTTCGTCTAGTGGGCGGCGCGTAATTGTATGCTTTGCACGTGGGCACTTGGAGTTTGTAACATCCCGCCCGGTCGCACATGCGGAAAAATCATTCGAGCTGCACTTATTTTCACAAAACCTTTCGAATTTTTTTTTACCAATAACACAAAAAAATAAACCTGACTTGTATTCTTGTTGCTATTCTCTTCCTTGATGAATATTTTGCGACGGAAATTGCAACTTTAAATGCAAATATATTTTTTCTACTCCCTTTTCTAAAATGCCCAATTATACACCGATCTAGCATGCGGGAAGTGTCACTTTACCACGTGATTTTCTTGTCGAGATATTACCGGATGGGTTTGTCAAATATGACGGTCACGTCAGTGAATTTATTCATGTTGTGTGGTAAAAATGTACCCAAATACTAACTAACTAAAAGTATACTTAATACGGAACACGCTTGGTAAACATTTTCAGTCACTCGTTTATTAAACGCTAGCTCGGCTCGTGCCAAATAAACTCGTGACTCAAATGCCGTTTACCCCACTTGTTGCATAATATACTATTATTCGTATTTTAAGAAGTAATTGTCATAAATATCAATAAAAATCGGTGAAGTTTTCAAACAAATTTATTGAATAATGATACATATTCAATATGCGATAAATCTGATGAACTTGTGGGTCACGGTAGAAGATTTTCCATTGGCTTGTCGGTTCTCCATAGTAACCATAGAGGTACACAGTTTGAGATTGTTGCTGCCTTTGTGTGGACTTTCGGCGCGTTTGCTACGAGCATCGTAACCCCACAAAAACGTCACTCATCACTCAAAACAACCCGATTCCACTCTGAATTCTTGGCACCATCCAGATGTAGTAATACTATTGGTTAATAGCAATACCAACCAAGCACAGTAAGACTGTAGTCCGTAAGCTCTAAATCGTCGATCAAATCAATATCTGCCGGCCCGTAGCTACCTTCAGCTCGTATCTGATTGAGGTAGTTGTGTAGAAACTGTGTAAAAATCCATGAGCAGTTCGTCGCGATCACTGGTTGCTCTAAAAACCCCAGTTCTCCTATCCTCCATATGGCGATGCGGTATAGGGCACTCTGTTTCCCCAAAAGAACATCCTAGATTCTCGTAGGCTTGTACTATCCTACCTAGTTCAAGTTCAGTTAAATGACAATACACGGCACATCTGATATTGCTTGCTTAGTGGTTCCATAAGAAAAAATATAACTTTACTATCTTAGACATTTATCGAACAGTATACATGGAAATAATTTTAGTCTATAAGTCTAATCCAACTATCTTCTATATATTGTTTTTACGATCGCCAATGGTTATCAAGATATCAACCGCCGACGCACTATTGGGATGCCCTGAATAATCAGATAACTTACAGCCTTTGTACATACTCTCCCTTTTTATTAGCTGTAATTGAAAGACCAAACGCAAGCTAGTAGAAAGAATGGTATTCTAATAAAAATAAAAAAACATCAAGAAAAATAAGTATTCCTTCTATTTAAGACCAGTTTCATTAGTGTGAAATTGAATAAATTTATTTAATTAATGCCGAACGTACTGCAAAATGATATTACAAAACTAAATATTTAACTTGGAAACTAGACTAGAATTTTAATGCTTCAACTTGTTAATATTCGCTGCTTAACTAAATTTCGCTAGAAATCACGCAGCAGTGATCATAACTTTGCTCTGTTAACAAACTTTCCGCTCTAATAACTATAACACGTAATCGTAGAATGGGTTGGGCACGACGCTGGGTATTGAGATTGAGAATTGGTGCCCAACAGATAATAAGCTAAAAGTTAAGACTAAAACCTATTTTTAAAAATTCAATTGATTCCTAAACATAAAAGTGTTGTTTAGACAAATAATTAATAATAATTAAATAATTGTTATTGAACCGGTGAAGTCATATATACTTATTAATAATGGTTCCAGAAATAGTGCTGGAAACTAATTTTTTATCGTTAAAAATTTAGGGACTCTGAACATATAGCCATTGGTAATAGGAAGCTTCTCAAAAACTAATCATACTGTCTCCGCCGACTGTTTTTGTTGTCATCAATTCAGTCTCGAACCCCGGACCTTTATCGAGCTCTGTGCGACTAAACGCTTGTATACAGAAGCTAATGAACCGAGAGTGTCTGATTAACGGCGCTTAATTAAACGAACCGATCATTTGGAAATTTCAATCCGCTGCTTGGGCCAACTTTATGTGTACTAATGAATATGCATATAGTCAATTCTGGTGGCACTGATTAGAATATTGAGGATTGCGGAGGAAGGTGTTATTATAGATAGATATATATTATAGATTCAATGTTCTATATGTCAAAGTTAGCACTGTTTTCTAGTATCGTTTTCACAACTTTGATCGCAAATTATAGAATTATGAACGTATTTGAAAGATAAATTGAAATTATCGTCCTGAATTTTATTTAAAACCAGCTATCTAAATCGTGCATGCTTCGCGTTTCAAATGAGAATACCTGGAAGATAAGGTGGTAGGTACTAAATATAATCCCAAATAATTAATAGTTCTTAACTTATTCACCTCGATCAGAGGTCCGAATAAACCCCTACCAATTAGGCCTGCTACACGACTAAAACATTAATAGAGTTGTTTGCAAGAAACAAGTAAAGCATCGCCATTGCCAACTAATATGAACAGCACACGTCACGGCGAAGGTAATAACAATTACATGTGGCTACGATAAACAAAAACATAACCTTATCCAAACACAGCCACATCGCTCTAACGATGCAGCAGACAAAATCCAATTGAAGATAGCAGTTTTAAGAAACCAACTACCCCATAGCCAACGTCTAATCTATAAATTGCCCCTAAATTCGAAAAATTCTAAACGTCAATGTGCACACCCAAAACCGACGTAAAATTCTATAGACAAATACGCCGCCAAAATAACCGAAATTCTCACAAAACTTAAAGTAATAAGCAAACTATCTTAAGTTACCTGTTTTACTAAGGGTAGCAAAGTTTGTTCTAAACTACGTGTCTTAATCTCTAAACAGTCAAAATTTGTTGTACCTTCAGCTGCCATTTTCTACACTACTGCCCGTCTTTGTTCTGATTGTATACAGCGGGCATCTGACTATCTCGCTTTACGTGCATAACCTCTTCAACCATTTCCCATCGGGAACACAAATCAGATGGTTAATCAGCTGTTCCGCGAAAACTGTGACTTGGGAATTGCTGTTCATGCAGGAGTTTTTAGGGTGCCGATGGCGCCATCTAACCATTAAGATTTCGAACCCGTTTTTGTTTGCAAAGTATTCTCGAAAATCACAAAACGTAAAGAAGTTTTATCTATAGCAATGAGTCACTCATAATCATCAGCTAGCTAGAGCGTAGAGCAAACAATCATGTTTTACATTCGATTTACTGCTTACCGGACAAATATAAAAAGATGACTATGCTTTCCTAGAACTGACCAAAATCAGCCTTTGACTTTGTGTTATGCATTATTTGCGCATTTGATGTAAAAGTTGCGGACCCCCGGTATCGTAATCCGAATAAGTCCACCGAATGCGTGTTTATTTTCGCAAATTGTTTTCGAAGTAGCACTCTTTTCAAGTTAGTCAACAGAACTTTCGGGAAAGCGGTGAACGCGTCTATTAATCACAGATTATAGAATTATTTTTCCGACATAAAGATTGACAACCTTCTGTTGTCTATTCATGGAATAAGATAAAAGAATCAGATTGTTAAATAAACGGTGACTAATTTGCAATAAGTTGGGAGAGCTCACTGATTAGAAAGGCTTTAAAGAAACAGTTATGATTGACCATTCTCTTTTAAGACTATGGCTTTCAAAGGCAAGTACTGTATATTCATTGTCTCATGCAAAATCTAAGAGATTTTGTTGTAGTATCAAAATCCAGACGCTGCCTATCGCGATATTACCCAGGCAGTTCAACATTATCAGGGTTTACAACCACAACAAGATTCTTACAGTAGGTGTCCTTCAGCATCTAAATTCATTGTTAAATGGCTTTTTATTTAAGCTTTCCTGGATGGCACAACAATGGACTTGGTGAATTTAACAGGCACAATTCCTGTCACATACAAAGGCAGTGTTTATAATATCCCTATATGTATCTGGCTCATAGATACTCATCCAAAAAATGCGCCCATTTGCTATGTGCAGCCAACTGCCGACATGTCTGTTAAGGTTTCCATGTTTGTTGATCAGAATGGAAAAATATACTTGCCATATTTACACGACTGGGTTGCTGTATGTTGCTCATTCCAATGGGTTGTGACTGTTAAGTTTTGAATGTTTCAGGACCACTCGGATCTCTTGGGATTGATTCAAGTGATGATAGTTACCTTTGGAGAGCAACCTCCAGTTTTTGCTAAGCCCAAAGATGGCAACCCTCCATATCCAGTTAACAGTAAGTATATGCTCGTTGCAGTTATCAGAATGTGGTATGGACGGCCTACCAAAACAGGTATCTGTAATTTTTAGGGGTCATGCCTCAACCATCTGGCAGTTACCCACCCTCATCATACCCTCCTACATCTCCTTATACTCCAACATGTGGAAATTTTGATGGTTATCCGCCATATTCTATAGGCTATACTGGCTATCCTCAGTTTCCAGAGCCCTCACATCCTAACAGATATCCTCTAGTAACCCCTCTATCCACAAGAAAAGAGGATTACATTAGAGATTCACTGTTAACAGCCATTCACGAAAAACTGCTTAGGAAAATGAAAGACCAGTTTTTGCAAAATCAAGCCGAGTTGCAAACCTTGAAGAAAACACAAGAGGAACTGAAGCAGGGTCAGACTAAACTGGATGGTATATTAGGTAGATTGGAAAAGGAGCAGGTAAATATGTTTGCTGCACATATTCATCAAAAAACTAAGTTTAGATATGTTTAAATGAGGAAAGATTTTATCCATTACAAGATACAGGTATCTTCCAACAAGCAACATTAATATTTTAATACATGCTATTTTGAGGTGAGGTATAAAATACCTCATGCTAAGTTTTGTTTTTGCTCCGGTCCTTTAGAAAGATTTGGAAAAAAGTGTTACTCTTCTAAGGGACAAGGAACAGGAATTGAATAATGCTATAGAAAAAATTGCGGAACAAGAATCAATAGATGTGGATGATGCGGTAACCACAACTGCTCCTCTTTACAAACAGTAAGTCTTTTCCTTAGAGATTTGGACGCCTGGCATAATTGTGTATTTTGAAGGTTGCTGAACGCGTATGCAGAAGAGACGGCCATAGAAGATGCGATTTACTACATGGGAGAAGCACTTCGATGTGGTGTGATTGATCTGGATGTGTTTCTTCGACAGGTGAAGACATTGTCAAGAAAGCAATTTATGCTGTGTGCCTTGATGCAGAAATGCCGTCAGAAGGCTGGATTGGCCGTGTGAAAAGTAGTGCCTAATATTGTGGTTATGTTTAAGTATTTTATTTAGACATTTAAGATTTTATTATGCTTACAAGAAAATGTAATAATTATTAGAATTAAATAAGTATGTTGACCGGGATGCCTTATATCTGCCAAAAGTTTATTGGCCACTGAAGCTGGAAAAAGAAAAAAATATATTGCCATAAATCTAGTGTCTAAAAGGTTAAGATACTCTAATTGACAATAGAATTGAGACAAATAAAATATAGAATTGTGATTTATTTAGTTTTATAATGTGTAACAGCATTTCAGAAGTAATTTATAATACATATATCAAGTGTCTACATTTTAGTCTGAACTATGAGAATCAGAATCCTTATGGCATTTTTTTTTATGTGTCTTTTTAGATTTTTTGCTCGACTTACATACTTCACCATGGTGTTTATATTCTTTCTCAGACTTATACTTTTTCTCATATTTGTTATGTTTTTTATATCTTTTTCTCTGCTTCTCCTCATTTGCACTTTCGGAATCATCAGAATCTGCACTAGACGCTTGATTTCTCTTATGTCTTTTTGAAGACTTCTTATACTTCTTCTTTTTTTGCTTTTTCAACTTGTCTTGGAGTTCCTTTTCGCGTAGTTCTGTTAAAGGCGTTAAATAGTCTCCCAGTTCCGAATCGCTGCTAGTACTACTGACATCCAATACGATTTCTTTATTGGGGTCTACTTTTAGAAAGTTGCGACACTGATAGGTCAAATGGCCCGCATAGCCGCATTTTTTACAAGCAGCTCGGGTTGTTTCTTTTGCGGGTGGCAATAAACGAGATCCATATTCTGCATCCATTTCACAAATCTAAATTTACCACCTAATACGAGATAAAAACAGCAATGAATGTTATGTTAAGTGTCTCAAATTACAATAAACATTAACATTATTGTAATAGTGGTTTTTTTATATCTAATTAAATTCTACTTTTCAAGTTCAAGTTCAAGTATGCGTTTCACAAAAAAATGTTGGGCTCGACTGCTAGGATCATTCGCCCATTGCCGACTTCCGTCGAGGATCTTCGCTTCTGGTCAACGACCACCACGTACAAAGAAGAAAAATAACCAATAATTTGCTCAGCTAGCAAAAAAAGATTCTGACCGATACCAATAAAAAATCGGCTTCCCCCCGCTTCCACCGCGGACCATCCGGGCCCATCCGGCCTCCATACCGGCGTGAACGGGGAAAAACGACGGGGCCGACGACGATTATCACTTTAAAACATGCACTGAACACTAAAAACAGTAAATCCACACAGTGGAAACCGTTATCAAACTTTTGAGGACAAAAGTAAGGGATTCTGTCGGGAGCGAACGGAGGTTAAACCGTCCTGTGCAATGCTCCACCACAGAATCCAAATTCTACTTTTGTTTACTATTTCAAAATCCTTCTTTTTCATGTCTATTAGCTAAATGTACCAAGATCAATCGGCGAATAACATCTGAAGTCCAACTTAATTTAGTTCTAGTAATTGCGTTTTTTTTTTTTTAAGTAAACGTGTGTTCCAGTTTCTCACTGTACCAGCGACAGTCAGTTTTAATACAAATTGAAGCGAAAAAAGAAAAAGAAAGTTAATATTCACTGTGCCTGACTGGGTCTGTAATGGGCGTATGCCCCTTGTAAATATACGTTTTTGGAAAGAAAAGCATATTAAAGAAAAATGTGGATTCTGTGGTGGAGCATTGCACGCGGCGGTTTAACCTCCGTTTACTCCCGACAGAATCCCTTGTATTCGTCCTCAAAAGTTTGATATCGGTTTCCACTGTGTGGACTTAGTGTTTTTAGTGTTCAGTGCATGTTTTAAAGTGATAATCGTCGTCGGCCCCGTCGTTATTCCCTGTTCACGACGGTATGGAGGCCGGATGGGCCCGGATGGTCCGCGGTGAAAGCGGGGGGAAACCGATTTTTTTGGTATCGGTCAGAATCATTTTTTGCTAGCTGAGCAAATTATTGGTTATTTTTCTTCTTTGTACGTGGTGGTCATTGACCAGAAGCGAAAATCCTCGACGGAAGTCGGCAATGGGCGAATGATCCTAGCAGTCGAGCCCAACATTTTTTTGTGAAACGCATAATTGAATTGAATTGAAAGAAAAATTCTGTGGTGGAACATTGCACGCGGCGGTTTAACCTCCGTTCGTTCCCTACAGAATCCGTTGTAATCGTCCAAAAATTTTGAAATCGGTCTCCACTGCGTGGATTTAGTGTTTTCAGTGTTTTGTGAACGTTGTAAAGTGATAATCGTCGCCAATCCCTTCGTTTTTCCCCGTTCACGCCGGTTAGAGGCCGGATGGGCCCGGATGGTTCGCGGCGGAAGCGGGGGGTGTCGGTTTTTTTTTTGCTAGTTGAGCAAATATTGGTTATATGTCTTCTTTGTACGTGTTGGTCCATTACCAAAAGCGAAGATCCTCGACGGAAGTCGGCAATGGGCGAATGATCCTAGCAGTCGTGCCCAACACTTTTTTTGTGAAACGCATACTTGAATTGAAAGAAAAATGTGATGTCTTGGAGTTTATCTGTGCACAGAGGGTAATTTGTGTATTGTTTGGAATATTGTAATATTTTTAAAAATGTCCAAGCCCGGAACATCTTCAGGTGATACCCAGTCACAAATTGCTCAAAAAACTTGGGAACTGACAAACAATGTAGAAGTTGTAAATTCTGTAGATGAGATCTATAAATACGATAAAAAACAGCAGCAAGATATTTTGACAGCTAAACCTTGGGATAAGGATCCCCATTTCTTCAAAAACATTAAGATATCAGCGTTGGCACTTTTAAAAATGGTAATGCATGCTAGATCTGGTGGCACACTAGAAGTAATGGGACTCATCTTAGGAAAAGTAGATGGGAATACCATGTTTGTTATGGATTCCTTTGCATTGCCTGTAGAGGGAACTGAAACTAGGGTCAATGCTCAGGCGCAAGCTTATGAGTATATGAGTTCATATATTGAAGCCGCAAAACTTGTCGGAAGGCAAGAGAACGCTATAGGGTGGTACCATAGTCATCCAGGCTATGGATGCTGGTTATCTGGAATAGACGTTAGTACACAAATGCTGAATCAAAATTTCCAAGAGCCATTTGTAGCCATAGTAATTGATCCTGTGCGAACAATTTCTGCTGGAAAAGTTTGTTTGGGTGCTTTTAGAACATACCCCAAAGGTTATAAACCTGCAAATGAAGAACCTTCAGAGTATCAGACTATACCATTAAATAAGATTGAGGATTTTGGTGTGCATTGTAAGCAGTATTATTCTCTGGAGGTTTCTTATTTTAAATCTGCTCTGGATAGGAGACTTTTAGACTCCCTTTGGAACAAATATTGGGTTAACACTTTGAGCTCATCAAGCTTACTAACAAATGCAGATTATACTACTGGTCAAATTTTTGATTTATCTGAAAAACTGGAGCAATCTGAGACTGCCATCGGCCGTGGTGGATTTATAATGGGAGGTGCAGACCCTAACGAAAAACGCAATGAGGACAAGCTTCTGAAAGCATCCAAGGATAGTTGCAAAACAACAATAGAGATTATTCATGGATTAATGGCGCAAATGATAAAAGACAGATTGTTCAATAGTGTCACCCCCAGTAAGGTGTGCGCACTTGAAGCTAGCAAGTAATTTGTGTTTAAAATATGTGCTTTAGTTGTAGTCAACTTTGATAAATAATGTATTTCCTAATTGGGCCGATGTGTTTTTATTTGTAGAAATATCTGTAACTTCTTGATCAAATTTAATTGAACAAGTCGCCAATAAATTTTTATTTCCATATGGATTTCCAAAGAATTGTGAAAACTGAGGTTCTTCTTCCTTTGCTTCTATTGGCCGATACTGCTAGGATCAATCGGCCATTTTCCCGGAATTGTACATTATGATCTGGAAGGATGGCTTACTTACAAGGGAGATATTTTAAAAGTAAAGAATATTTTATATTTAAGAAGCCGTTACAACAGCGGTACTGAACTTTTCCCATGTAAAAAGTAAAGACTAATAGGAATATTTTGACTCCAAGATTTAGCTTCATATCTATTACCAATATAATATTTGTCTATGCCCTGTGGTTGGCAGTGTTATCACCAACGCTTGGTATCTGAGCGAAAAGTGGAACATTTAAAATTATAACGGACTCTTCGTTCAAAAGCTTTTTTAAAACCAAATGTTTTGCCTTTATGTTATTTAAAAATGGACGTAAAAAAAGAATGCGTTAGTGTTTCGGTTCGAATTAGACCAATTCTTGTTCGGGATAGTGCGACCTCTTCTTGTTTGCAAATTGTCAGCAAAGAACCTCCTGTAAGTCTAGTCCAATGCATAAAGTTCAATATTCCAAACAAACCCCAATTTATAACTTAAGGTGTTGGCTGTACCAGATCGGGCACAAACTTTTTTTTTCGATCAAATTTTTTCGGAAGGTACCGACCAGGAACAAGTGTTCAGAAAAACTGTTAGGCCCCTAGTGGATCATGTTAAGTCAGGATTTAACTGTACGGTGTTTGCCTATGGTCAGACGGGCTCCGGTAAAACTTATACAATGGGAACTGACGCAACGGTAAGCTTTTCAGCACATATAATATATAATATATTTGATACCCTTAGTTTTGCAGTTAACAGCTAAGGATGATGTGGGAATAATACCGCGTTCCTTGGACCACCTCTTTGAAGACAGTAAGGCTAACATAGATGCTTATTGCTCATTTGTTGAAATATATAATGAAAAAGTCTTTGATTTGCTGAATGTTGCAAATAAAAATGCTTTGAATATATCTGGTGGGAGATATAGATTAGATTTTACATTTTATAATGTGATTGTATTTTAGGATTTGTTGTGCAGGGCCTTAGTGTAAAAAGTGTCAAAAACTCGGCGATGGCTAAAGAGTTGTTGCAAGTGGGCAACAAGAACAGACACACAGGTGAAACAAAACAAAACATGAATAGCTCCAGATCTCATGCCATATTTACCATTCATTACAGGTATGGCGTTTTTAGTTGTGTCAGAAAAATCATTAATTTTTGTGATATTAGGGATGGAGATGTATCTGGCAAATTGAATCTGGTGGATTTAGCAGGTTCAGAGTGTGTTAAAAAGACAGGCAGTCAAGGGAGTACATTCCAGGAGGGTGTTAACATAAACAAAGGGTTGCTCTCGATAGGGCAAGTCATTTCTGCTTTGTCAGCCAAGTCTAGCTTTATACCTTACAGACTATCAATTATCACCAGTATATTGCAAGGTATAAAATATCTAAAAATAAAAAGAATAAAATTATTACATAATTTTGTTGTAGGCTCTTTGAACACTGAAAATTTTGTATCTTTAATAGCTTGTGTTAGTCCCAATTCAGATGACATAGCTGAGACTCTGCAAACATTGGACTTTGCCCAACGGGTGAAAAAAATTAAAATCAATCCTGAGGTAAACCAGATCATAACCAAATATAAAAGAGGGTTGCTACAAACTTGCAGAACTCCATTGAAAAGGCCTCCGCAAACACACTCAGCAAGGAAAAATATCACTCTGTTATCCATGCCCCTTATTAATGAATGTCAGGAAAGGGCCCAAAGCAGCTCACTCTCTACTGATAACAGCTCAACCGTTAGTAGCGAGCTGACTCAGCAAGTTTTGAGTCCAGTAATAAGAAAATATATGACTAAAATTGAGGCCTCGCTTATGGATCATCTAGAAACTGTGGTGAAGAAAACTTTCCAAAGGCATAATGTTCAAATTCAAGATGCCAAAAATAAATATAGCACACCCAGGTATGTCGAATTATTAATGTAAATAATTTGTCAGAATAATTTGCAATTGTAGCATGTCATGGGACAAAATCCAGAATGAAGTTACCAAATTGGTAAAAACTGAATTCGCCCAGATGTCTAGTAAAAGAGTTCCCGCGTCAAGCAGTCCCCTTAAAAATAAAATATGTAGAATTTTGGTCAGCAATGGCTGTGTTCAATTTTCCTTAACTAATTTTCTAATTGTAGAGTTATAGTCCTGAAAATGCAGAACCAAAAATTAAGGAACCATTTAAAATGCCAAAGGTGCCGAAACGACACAAGCAGATCGACACCAGGGTTCTACCTATTTCTTCCATAGAGGTCGATCATGAAGTCACATCTTGTAGACGTAGCCTACGATTATCCATAAAGGCAAAAAGCAATAGCAGTAACAACACTTTTAATCAATTGAACGTTTTGAATGACTCAACTGGGGAAGAGTCGGTTAAAGAATTAGAGAAAAGCGACGGTGTAAATAATATCAGGCAGGTGCCTGATAACACAGTAGGTAGGAGGCAGAGTTTAAGGATCGCTAATAGGGATGTTAACTGCAGCGGATGTAATCCTGCAGTTGTTAAGAAGTCAAATGTCTCATTTATGGTTGGCACAAAACTCGCGAAAAGAATGGTAGATCCGAAAAAGAAACAAAAAAGGTAAATTAATCCTTTTCTGGGCAGTAACATAGTAATTTTAAATACCATTTATGGTTTTTTGGGTACGTAAATTTTCTTTTATGAGAAAAATTTTCTACTCTTAAAAAGAGCTGTCGAACACCGCCATTTTTATATTTTGAATAGTTCGAGCATATTTTTTTTTTATTTTGCATTTTTTTAAAAAAGGTAAGGCAACTGGCGATTTTACAATTCTATTCTGCAAACAGTTAATCTAAGGGTTTTGTATCATTCTATTGTATTAAGGGCAAAGCTTACTAGTTCCAAATGTAAACACAATACAAATTGCTCTGTTGATGAATGTCACTCAAGAGACTTTAAATAACAATTATCTTAATAATAGCTTTTCTTGAAAATTATGAAAATGAAAAAATGACATTCTTTGAACCTACCGAACACACTTTCGGAGAACTGCAGCGATATACTTGCAACTTTCCCACTAACCACCACCTTTACAACTGCAAACAATGAAACATTTTATAGGGAGTCCTTTAATTTTGCTAAGGCATAATAAATGTACTTTGAGTTATCAGTCTCTGCAGTAGATCCAATTGACCTAAGATACTGGTTCCATTTCCCTCAAACCTCAAAAATTGAGGTCAAAGGTAATAGGTAAACATTATTCTTTTTTCTTCTCCCTGATGTAAAATATCTAATTGTACAACAGTCTAGCGTGCGGAAAGTGTGATTTGCCTACGCCAGGTTCTTTCCCACTGATCCGAGCCACTGCGGACATTTCCGCAAAAATGTACCCAAAAACTAACGGTCTTTGAAGAAGTATAGTATGCATCAGGTTTGGTAAACTTGTTAAGTCAAATGCCGTTTACCACACTTGTTGCTTAATATACTATTATCTGTCCGCCATGAAAAAATAATTTTTGGGATTAATCTGTTATCCAAATTTTTCAAATTTATCAAGTTCAATAGCGATGTTCAACATACATCATATTTAAAAATAAATATGAAATATTTCTAAAATAAAATGGTAAACAAATTACTACACCAGTGGCCAAAAAATTTAGGTCACTTAAGAAGTTACAACTTAAAAAAAAAAGTTTATCACCGAATCGTCGATCTGGTAGGTGAAAAATTATCTATCCTATTGCATTTGGTTAACTGAATTTAACATTTAATTATGTTTGTTTTCACGATTTTGCCGGAAAACAAAAAATGTCTATTATAAACTAAAGAAACGAGTAATAATTAACGCTATTGAGAAAATCTGAAAATTAATAACTTGTATTCCCTCCTCGAGGCATGCTTTGAATTAAATTACCGATTACTGTCTGATCGATGTTGTTCCATTCCTACATTAGCAACTCTCTCAGTTCTTGGGCACTTGGCGATGGTGTATGTCTTCGAATACGTCGTTCCATCTCATCCCATACATATTCGATGGGATTCACATCTGAACTGAGTGCTGGCCAAGCGGACCGCCTCATTCAGATATTGACTGACAGTTCTGGCGGTCTGAGGTCATTATCGTGCATAATTCATAATTATTCCAGTCTAAGCCAATCTCAGTAGCCACCCTTCGGCAAGACAATCCGTTAGCACGATGCCTTCTTCTAACAGTACATTCGCTAACATTAACATTTCTAATCTCTTAAAGTTCATTTGAAGCTGTCCTATTCCGCAAACTTGCGGACACCAAAAATCGATCGTCTCTTTGGTTGGTGATCCTTCTTTGATCAGATCCTGATCTTTTAGAGATCAAGCCAGTGTACTCGTAACATTGTACAACGCAGCTCCTACTAACCATTTTTGCAGTTTCCCGTTTTCCTTGACCATCTTGTATTATTGCTACAATTCTAGCCACAACGATAGGATCTGAAGGCATTATGATCAGTTAAATATATACCTTAGATCAATACACCAATCATAAGTTTTATAGAGATAAATGAATATTGTACTGGAAAGTATCTAACGCTACAATTTTTAATTAGGTCGAACTTAACGTTATTTCATAAAAATTGGAAACCACGCTGACAGTAACTGATAAATAACAAATATCTCCATCAGCATTTGTAGGAAATCAAATAATTCACTGTCTACTAGACCGACGATTCTGTGATAAAAAAATTTTTACAAATTATTTAAAATTTCTTGAGTGACCTATATTTTTTGTTCCCAGTGTATATGTATCTAAAATTTCTAAGAATATCAAAATTAAAACTATTTTAATTTTTTCCTCCCAAGTTAATACAGCTGCCAGTTCGTGTATTTTGCTGTCGTGTATCGTAGGTTAAATGTTGTTCTATTCACAAATTGTTGCTTTACGGAATTTCTCGGGGCAATAAGGAGAAGTAAATAAATAAGTGTTATGGATGGATATAAGAATAATTCTTTTCTATCAAACTAAGGATACCTTCTTGAAATGTATATTACCTATAACACAATTGGTATCAAGCCAAGTCTATATACTTTACAAGGAAAGCTGAAAACAATGCTTTCTGTGTATTGAAATTTTTGTATATTTTTTTTTAATTTAGCAAGGATAGTCCATTTACAGTGCATTCAAAACGGGTCCTTTCAATTTTAAACTTGGGAAATGTGCAGGAGTTGGAAAGACTCCATTCTGTTGGGGCGAAAACGGCGGAACAAATATTACTTTATAGGTAAGAGTTCCGCTGCAAAGGAGAAGTAAATAGTAAATTTGCGCTTTTAGGCAGTTGAGGGGTAAGTTTGGGAATATCGAAGATCTCTGTCACATGCCGAGGTGGGGAAAGCAGAAATTTGAAAAGTTTCTCGAATCCAACTTCCTGACTCGTTAATAAACAAACTAAAATTGATAGTGATTTATCGACCATTTGGTGGAAGTGCTGAACTGCAGCTGCGAAGTTGTCTGCTTTGCCACTTTATAAGCCCTCCAATTAAATTTTATTTAGTACCAGATAATAAGTATAAATAGATGCACTTGATGTTCCAAAGCCAGGTTTACAATAAATGTGAATCATGGCATGAGAGATAAATGTTGTTTTTATTTTCTTTTTGTTTTATATAGCATTAGGTACTATAGTGGCCTTACCATTGTAAAAACTGATGTGCCGCAGCCGTCATTCATATTTTCGTAAAGAAGGGAAAGATTTTCCTCGTACGCCTCTACATTTCACCCACTAACCTGCACCTTGCGCCATTTTCTTTTTCTCTGCAGCAATTTCCGCACACTGAACTCGTTTTCCGAGAATATTTAACGAGATTTAGGCATATTTTGAGTAAATACTGCCGTAAATATGTAGCATCTAAACTTATTGATGATGTGTGAGCGGCCATGTTGATTGTTGAATTGGTTAAGAAACGAGATTTAAAATCTCATGCGTATGGTGAATAAACCTCCCCAAAATTGTTTTCATAGTTCCTTCATGAGTTCCTGTATTATCGGCGTTTGTATGCTTTGTACCGTTGATGTTGTACCGATGTACGTAATCTGTGCTAGTAGGTATTTGTTTTTACATGTGTGGTAAAAGCCGCAAATTTTCCTTTTAAAACAAATGAAAGTCATCAAACATGCAATGACAAGTCATTGCGGCCGTCACTCACTGCAAATCGTGTTTGATACTTGAGTTAGGGCAAACTTATTATCGGTTAATATTACACGTACGTCAAGCTGTGCGGCGAGCGCCAATTGTTGTTTACCGCCTTTTTACTGCCACATTTGTATTAGAACCGCATGCTGTTTCATGATTTTGTATTACGTTCAATGTTCAAACGAAAGTCGACATATAATGCTAAATCTCATTTTCATCCAAGAACTAGTGTAAGGTTTAGCTTTTAATCATCCTTAGAAAAAAATCCAAAACATCCATCTAAAATGCACATGCACAGTCATTTCAAATCTCACTTTCAACCGATAAGATCTAGCGGCGTTCAACAACCAACATGGCCGCTGACAGCTCTTCAATCCGACAGCTTTCAGTTTAGGAAAAAAAAAAGGAAAAAGTATGTAGAGAATGTTATGTTAGTGTATGAGATTTAGGTTTTATGCGGAAGATTATTTCCGTTTGCGTGAAATATTACAGTATTTACGACCCCTACATTAGCTGATAGCAATATGGTTTGTACCGTTGATGTTGTACCGATGTACGTAATCTGTGCTAGAAGGTATTTGTTTTTACATGTGTGATAAAAACCGCAAATTTTCCTTTTAACACAAATGAAAGTCATCAAACATGCAATGACAACTCATTGCGGCCGTCACTCACTGCAAATCTTGTTTGATACTTGAGTTAGGGCAAACTTATTATCGGTTAATGTTACACGTACGTCAAGCTGTGCGGCGAGCGCCAATTGCTGTTTACCGCCTGTTTACTGCCACATTTGTATTAGAACCGCATGCTGTTTCTTGATTTTGTATTACGTTCAATGTTCAAACGAAAGTCGACATATAATGCTAAATCTCATTTTCATCCAAGAACTAGTGTAATGTTTAGCTTTCAATCATCCTTAGAAAAAAATCGATTTCAACCGATAAAATCTAGCGGCGTTCAACAACCAACATGGCCGCTGACAGATCTTCAATTCGACAGCTCTCAGTTTAGGAAAAAAAAAAACGAAAAAGTATGTAGAGAATGTTATGTTAGTGTATGAGATTTAGGTTTTATGCTGAAGATTATTTCCGTTTGCGTGAAATATTACAGTATTTACGACCCCTACATTAGCTGATAGCAATATGGTTTGTACCGTTGATGTTGTACCGATGTACGTAATCTGTGCTAGAAGGTATTTGTTTTTACATGTGTGATAAAAACCGCAAATTTTCCTTTTAACACAAATGAAAGTCATCAAACATGCAATGACAACTCATTGCGGCCGTCACTCACTGCAAATCTTGTTTGATACTTGAGTTAGGGCAAACTTATTATCGGTTAATGTTACACGTACGTCAAGCTGTGCGGCGAGCGCCAATTGCTGTTTACCGCCTGTTTACTGCCACATTTGTATTAGAACCGCATGCTGTTTCTTGATTTTGTATTACGTTCAATGTTCAAACGAAAGTCGACATATAATGCTAAATCTCATTTTCATCCAAGAACTAGTGTAATGTTTAGCTTTCAATCATCCTTAGAAAAATATCGATTTCAACCGATAAAATCTAGCGGCGTTCAACAACCAACATGGCCGCTGACAGATCTTCAATTCGACAGCTCTCAGTTTAGGAAAAAAAAAAACGAAAAAGTATGTAGAGAATGTTATGTTAGTGTATGAGATTTAGGTTTTATGCTGAAGATTATTTCCGTTTGCGTGAAATATTACAGTATTTACAACCCCTACATCAGCTGATAGCAATATGTACCGTTGATGTACCGATGTACATAATCTGTGCTAGAAGGTATTTGTTTTTACATGTGTGATAAAAACCGCAAATTTTCCTTTTAACACAAATGAAAGTCATCAAACACGCAATGACAAGTCATTGCGGCCGTCACTCACTGCAAATCGTGTTTGATATTTGAGTTTGGGTTGTTGCATTTCTGTAGTCGAGTGGCTTGATAAATACATATTCTCCATCGCTACTTGACAAGCTTGGTGTAATTTACCATAATTTTAAGGCGACGACGTCAATAGTCATTTTTATGACTAAAGTTTGGATAGTATTGGTTAGTTGGAGGAGGAGTTTATCCTTTTTGACGACACAATTAAGTATATTTAGCCATGTGGTTGTACCTTATCGACTTTTTGTGATGTGTTTCGTTTGAAGTTAATGTACTTTCAAATGCTTGCAGATGCTTTATTAACTAAGAGAATATGTATATTCTTTATGTTAACAATATTGTGCAACTGGCAGCTGAAGGAGTGCTCAATAAAAGAGTGACTGAAGAAGTTTATCCATTTATGCAAAATAGCACACGTTGTGACGTACGTATGTAAAATGATGTTCCTCGGACGGCTTTCGATATGATGACCGCGCATGCGCCTATCAATCAGGGAATTGACCCTGTTGCGAAGTTGTGATGGATATCAAAAAATCTGTCCTTTTTTTTTTAAACAGAACACTATTGAATTTACATGTGTTATAAGTTAGATAACACAATAACTAACTCTAGAAATCTTTCTTGTTGCATGAAAGGTTAATAAAGTGTTCACACTTTTTTGTTTTGCTATCTTGCGGAGAAGATTCTAACGCACTATTGCCAATTATCAATGTCACATCAGTGAAACAAAATTGCTAGAGGCCTTTGCCATTTCTTGCATAAACGTTCGCAAAACTTAATTTATTTTAAAAGCAACATTTGCCAGCTCCTATTTTCGCATTCCACTCGATTAACGAAGCTATAATCTAGCTCCGCGGACACACTGTTTAACTGTTTTGACATTTGGTCGTTACAATCACCAATTTCAATCGCTACTTATACGATATTCTCAGACTTAAATGTTTGGAAATGCACCCACCAGTGAACAAAAAGAGCAAAAAATTATTAAAATCAGATGAGTAATTGTAAAACTCAAATAAAATATTGTTCTTTTCGATACACAATCACTAGTTATTATTAGGTCAGTTTCCGGTCACGGAAATGATCTCAGAGACAACTATAGAAGGTTAGTGTCGGTGTAATGGCGCTCCAGCCTAATCCTGTACAAATTGTATCTAATATTTAGTATAATCGGCTTAAAACGCTGGTCGTCGTCGACGTTATAACCGGAGACTTAAAGCTTAAGACCCTTGGGAGCCAGTTTCCTATTCAGCATTAGCATCGCCGAAGATTACTCTGCCCCATTTTTCGGTTAGGGCAAACTTATTATCAGTTAATATTACACGTACGTTAAGCTGCGCGGGGAGTGCCAATTGCTGTTTACCGCCTGTTTGCTGCCAAATTTGTATTAGAACCGCATGCTGTTTCTTGATTCTGTATTACGTTCAATGTTGGAGTTTTGAAAGTCGACATATAATGCTAAATCTCATTTTCATCCAAAAATCTAAATTTTTCTCGTAAACTAATGTTTAGTTTCAATCATCTTTAGAAAAAAAAAAACGAAAACATCCATCTAAAATGCACATGCACAGTCATTTCAAATCTCACTTTGAACGGATAAGATCTAGCGGCGTTCAACAACCAACATGGCCGCTGAGAGATCTTCAATTCGACAGCTTTCAGTTTAGGAAAAAAAAACGAAAAAGTATGTAGAGAATGTTATGTTAGTGTATGAAATTTAGGTTTTATGCGGAAGATTATTTCCGTTTGTGCGAAATATTACAGTATTTACGACTCCTACATTAGCTGATAGCAATATGGTTTTGGGTGTTTGGGTTTCTCCTGAAAGCGTGTGACATAAAAAACTAATATTATGCCAGTGCCGTTTAAACTGCTAGACTTGCTTGCTAAACCTCTCAGCCGTCAACAAGCAGCAGGTAAAAAGGGCAACAGGACCTGAATGATTTATATCGTAAATACCGGAAGGCATTATTCATGTGAACCGGTCACGTGGAGCAGAAAGTCGTGACCCGACTGCGAAAACTGTAACCTCTAACTTCCAAATATCTGCATTTCCAGACAGTCTCTCGTTCTGCTACATTTAGAAGGGGAATTTCGTATCTTAATATTCAGACAAGCGATTTAGAATTATTTCGCGAGGTTTAAGTATAACCGAAGAAAAAAAAATTGTTGGTTATTTTACTAACTATTTTTATGCTGCCCGGCTATAAATATTTTCGGAGTGTTTGGATCAGTCCAGCATTAAATTGATACAATATTTAATATAATGAACGTTATCTAGTTCTGAGGCATCCCTGTTTTGCTCACTAAGGTATGGTCTGTTCATAGATAAAAGAAAGTGACCAATTGCTTTTGAATAGGATTATCCAAGGGTGGTCATTAAAATATATACAATGCAACAAAATTATTACCTAAAGTTTTCAGTAATAGAAAATAATTTTATACCTACCTGTGTTTAATATTCTTTGGTTTGGTATACTACTTAGTTTAAGTTTATTAGTAATCATTCTTATTTCGTGTGTAATACA